TTTAGGGTTTGGGGGTTTGGGGTTGGGGTTTAAGGTTTGGGGGGCTGGAGTTTAGGGTTTAGGGTTTGGGGGTTTGGGGTTTAGGGTTTGGGGGTTTGGGGGTTTGGGGTTTGGGGGTTTGGGGGTTGGGGTTTAGGGTTTAGGGTTTAGGGTTTAGGGTTAGGGCTTAGGAATGAAGTTCTCCCAAAGGGTCCTCTGTAGTGTTATCGGGATAGTAGTTCCCAATACAGGAACCCTACATTCTACTTTTCTGGGTGTTGAGCTTCAGGGCCTAGAGAGTTTAGTGTGCATGGGCTTTCGAAGCCTTGGCTGTGTGAGCTCTTGGGTGATTTTCAATCGGGTGGGCCTATGCAACTTGCAACATCAGACGCCATTACCGGTCAGTGACTGCTTAGGCTTGAAGAAAGGTGTCTGCAACTGTTCTCTCCCCGCGAGATATACCCACCAACACTCTGAAAGATTATTAAGGTTATCCCCTCACAGTCCCCGCATAGGTGTGCTATAAGAAGCATCGCCCTCTCTCTCTCTCTATAAATATGTTTATGCTTATATCAATCCCTATAGACTTGTTGAGCAAGTCCTTATAGAACCCGGTACGCACCCTCGAACCCTATGCACGCCCTTGTAAAAGCATTCTCTGGCCTTTTCAACCCTTCGTGTCAACCCTAACTTTCAAAGCTTTCTACCCCAAACTCTAAAAGCCCTACACCCGACCAGATACCTTACAGAACCCTTCTAGAACCCCTCAAAAACAAGGCAACCCTGTTTTATGCAGGTTCTTCCTGTCCAACAAGTCGCGGATGCTGTCGCGGAAGTCTGTGAACTGGCTACCCAAAGCCTTCCTCGATCAGCTGCTTGGGCCAGGGGATTTTGGTTTTAGGGTTTGGGGTTTTGGGTTTTGGGGAAATATGTCCTAAATGGTGAGATACTCTTGATGATGTAAATCCTGCAATACCTTAAGGTTTAAGGACCCCAAGGTATGGGAATTATGGTATACTCCCGGTTGTGGGTAATGCAGGATTTATATCATCAACTGTATCTCCCGAAATGGTAAGTCAAGCCCCTTACAAGAGCCCCGTAAATTTGGAGCACCTTACCAAAAAAACCAAGCACAGCTGTACGAAAACCTAACTCGATCTTTACAACCCTTCAAAATGCATATGGGTAGTTCTCTAGATTAGGGTTCCTTTTCAGGGCGGTTTTGGGTACTTAAAACGATCCTCTAATTTAGAAAACTACCCAAAACAGCCCCTCTAAGTAAGACATTGCACGGGCCCTGGCTTTCGCAAAACCGTGAGCCTAAACCCTAAACCCCTAAAACCCTAAACCCTAAACCCCTCAACCCTAAGACCCCAAACCCTAAAACCCTAAACCCCTTAACTGCTAAGATTCGGCTTCGAGAGCTTGGAGCAAGCTGCAATGGACAAGAGCCCAATGACGGGGCTGCAACTTTGATGGATTTGGGGATTTGGGTTATCGAAGCAGTAGGAGTTTAGGGTTTCGGATCGGGATTTACATACAGTTGGGCCACAGGCTTCTGGGATCTGGGGATTAGATTAGAGTCCACAGTCTGTAGGTCTTTGGGGGTTGGCGATAAGAAGGTTTAGGGTTAAGGGATGTTCTTAAACTTTTAATCCCTTAACCCAAAGCCCTAAACCCTAAACCCTAGGGTTCAGGACAACTTTGCCGGGGCTTGGGAGACTTCGCCGGACTGTGGATTGTGGGGTTTAGTGGAGTGGGGTTCTGAAGGCTCAGGGTTTTCAACTTGAGGGTGAAGCGCAACTTCCAGCTTTGGATGTTGAAGTTTAGCAGCGGGATAGTTATCGAGTTGAGGATTACATAAGGCAGTGGGTGTTGCCGGTGTTGGGGGGATGTTAAACAACTTTGCTGGGTCACTGGCCGACAAGTACAACATTACGCTCGCAAATCGAGCCTTCCAAATCTAACCCTAAATACAAAACCTTGAATGACTGAACCCTAAACTAAAAGTTTACCACCCAGAGCTTGTAGGTGTTCACCAGGCCCCCATGTGTCAAGTCTCCATCCACAGGAAGCGTGAAGGCCCCATCCCCGGAGCGAGGAAGAAGGGTTGAGGGTTTAGGGTCTAGGTATAGGGTTTAGGGTTTAGGGTTGAGGGTTTAGGGTCTAGGGGCCCTAAACCCTAAACCCTCAACTCTAAACCGGATTCCCTGTAGACTTTTGGGGTTCAGGGAGCCAAGCAGTAGATACACATGTCAAATATGCTCCACAATAGCCGGTAGGTGCCGGAGTTTAGGGTGTAGGGTATGTGCCAGTTAGTTTAAAGTATTGTTTGCTGGAGTGGAGCCATTTATCGCATGTGCCCCTGACCTTTGTCGTTCCCTAAACCCTAAACCGTTTTGCTGTTGTTTGGTTAAAGGTTAAGAATACATAGAGTCTGGTCCCTGCGCCACGAAATGCTGCTGTCAGGCTCTGTGCCGTTTTCAGCGGTGACTGCGGCAGAGCTGCAAAGTATTTTCCGACTTGGGTGGGTCCGGAGCTTAACCCTAAACCCTGAACCTGAAGGCTAGGAAACATGAACAGCTTATGGGGAAGCGTAGGCTTTGGGTTAGGATTCATCGTTTTCCATTTCCCGACGAAAACGAAGCAAAGGGCAAGCACGAGTATACACCAGCTTATGACTGCAAATGATACTGTTGATGGACAAAATGCTGCATGACCCAAACATAGTATAGCACCATAAATCCCATAGTTTAGGTATATAAGGTCATGCAGGATTTTGTCCATCAGCCGTAGGAACTACTATAATCAGACTCGTACTGCCATCAATAGCATTACGAAGCAGAGTTTTGGTGATTGTGATTACTGGTCACTGTGATTGCGCGTTGTCTACACCTGAACCATTTACATAGTGTTTAGGGCTTAGCGTTTAGAGTTTAGGGCTAGTTCAGGGCTTAGGGTAAAACTGAAAACACTACACAGTGAGATCTTCAATCAATAGGTCGAGGCTGCACTCAGCTCGCGCCATAAACCCTAAATCCCAAACCCTAAACCCAAAACCTAAACCCTAAACCCAGAACCATTATCCCCGAAGCCCAAGCTCTACCCATTGGCCCTGGGCCCCGCCTTAGGGTTTAGCATCTCAGGGTTTTGGGTTTAGGGTTTAGGGCATTTTCCTACATCCTAGGGTTTGGGGTTTAGGGTTCAGGGTTTAGGACAATTTTCTACATCTTAAGGTTTATAGGGTTTAGGGCATTTTCCTACATCTTGCACACTGCTCTTGATGTAAGCCCCCGAGCAAGGCCTACAACCCAGAAATGCAGCAACCTTGCTACTAAACCCTAAACCCTAACCCTAAACCCTATACCCTAAACCCTAAACCCTAAACCCTAAACCCTAAACCCTAAACCCCTGAGCCCTGGCACCAATATTTTCCATCGGCTCGAAGGGTGGGTTGAAGGTAGGTGGGGTCATCCCAAAATAGGAGTCCTGGTAGAAAGGGGTCCTTAATCCTACCTACCTTTACGGTTTAGGGTTTAGGGTTTAGGGTTTATTCCACGTTTTGAGGCCTCCGATATCTTGGAGCTTGATCTCTGCCCTGGCAGAAGCCTAGGCCACATGATCAGGCAGCTGGTAGCCTGTCGAGCTGCTGTGATCTCCCGCCGGCAGCTTCAGTTGTTGTCGTAGTTCCGTCTTCAGAGTGTAGGATTTAGGGTTCCCGTTTAGTGTTACAGGTTCAGGACCTCAGGACATGCGGTGTACTCGAGTCTGGGCTCGTTTGCTGAAGTTGGGTGTTTACAGGTGCTTACAAGAAGTTTAGACGTCAAAGCCAGGTTCCCCTCACACATCTTGAAGGTACAAACTGCATCTCTACAGCACAGTCCAACAGCTAACCCCACCAAATGCTGCCAACCTTAAATTAGGAGGCCATAAACCCTAACATAAAACAGGGGTCGCTTGGTTTGGGTTCATACGGAAGGGCTTTAGGTGGCAAGGTTCTGGTTGACCTGTGGGAGCATAGCGGCAAGTCTTCATCTTGGGGGCTTAGTACCAAAAGTTTGAGAGCTTCGGGCATTGGGTACCTGGGGTTTAGGGTCTGTGGTTTAAGGGTTTAGGGTTACAGGCTTAAGGTCTAGGGTTCAGGGTTGAAGGGTTTAGGAGGTTAGGGGTTTAAGGGTTTAGGGTTCGGGCTTCGGGCTTCGGGTACTTGGGATTTACCCTCCCCGAAAACAAAGTCCCAACCCTCAAAACCGCCGCCGGAACTCAGGAATGAAAACATTCACGGCCTGTCCGACCTGGGTTACTATGCATCCCGATTTCAAGTTAACGCGCAAGCTTAGGCTCCAGTACTTCGGCTCATTCATAGGGCGCAGGCATCAACGCTGGTAAGCATGAAGTTGTAGCAGCTAAACGTCCGGAGTCATGCAGGGTGCAGGTTTTGAGGATGGTTTGTCGTTTGTGTGGGTACATCGTTCGGGCTTCTCGCTCGTGCATTGTTCAGGATTCGGTTTGTGCCGGTTAGGGGGCCTTCACTAAATCCCTGTGCTTCATACGATTCATAGCTGGAATGATGGGTCCGGCAGCAATACCTTTATGGCCCTTCCTGCCTCCTTATGTAATGTTTGAAGCCTAGAAGTTCTTTTCTGCTCACATTATGGAATTACATAGTAAACATGATATTTTGAGGCCCAAGACCATAGTGGTAGGATATATGCACCCACCGGGAACCTGAACAATAGGACACCAGGAACCCGTATTATTCATGGTGTATTAAAGACACAGGGATCCTCTTCCGTTGGCTGCAAGCCCAAAGCCCATACTGTAGAAGCCTAAATAGTTTATACCTAATATTATTCCTTAGAGTTCCCCATTATGATTATGATTCTACTAGAAAGGAGCCCAAAACTCCAGTCTGATTCTTAAGCCCCCTACATTATCTTAACAGTCGATCGCAACAATCCAAAAATTCCTTACCCAAAGGCTTAAAGGATCCTATGTACCTATCTTAATGCTTATTTACTCAAACCATACTCGTAATTCCTGCCATAGGAATTCTACAATCCTACCGTCTACTATGTAGGTACACGTAGGCGCTTAGGAGCCATTGGGTTTGGGTTTGAACCCTAACCGACAATTGCTGATTCTGTTTCTACGTCTATGTGGGCCAATCTCTGCATCATCGATGGCTGATTGTCGTAAGTATTCTTATCTAAACCGCCCCTGACCTTTGGAACATGCCTGCACCCTTAAACTCCAAGCCTATGCATTGTTTCATCATAGCCCAATCCCTAAACACCCTAAACTTTAAACCCTAAACCCTAAACTCTGAGAATAAACCCTAGACCCTAAAGCCTAAACTCCTAATCCCTGAACCCTGAACCCCAAACTCTGAGAAGGGGTCCTTTGTACCGGGCCCACATCTCTGCAACGACAGCAGGATGGGATCTATGTTCCGTTCTAGTCTAGGGGCGAGGCATCGGTCTTCTTCGGTTAGGGGCCTTAATAATCAGAATAGGGTTCGCGGTATATTATACTAGGACTATATGAAGGGGCCCTCAAAATCCAATTCTAATTATCAAGGCCCCTACACTACCCTATACCCAATACAGAGGTACTTGAGGTTAATATTGTATATGATTATTAGGTACTCGGACCCTTAGGGGTATAAGGTTTGTTACTGTAGACCTAAACCCTGCAACCTAAACCCTAAACCCCTGAACCCCAGTTGAGGGCTGTTGGGCTTGATTTCTCATCTGCATCCTTCAAGGAAGTCTTTCCCTCGGGCTCCGATTTTTTAAATGGCCCGTTACCAACCAGCGTTTAGGGTTTAGGGCTGTATGTAACGCAGCATAACCCACTATTAGGGTAATGTAGGGGCCTTAAATTAAAATAATGAGAATAGGGTTTTGGGAGGTTCCTTGCTGTAATTATAGTACACTGTACCCCCAAACCCTATTCCAATTATTAAGGCCCCTATACCAAACCCTTATAGAGGCCCTTATAGAAACCTTTACAGGAAGCCTTATGGACCCCTTTAAATTAAGGGACCCTAAACCCTAAACCCTATTAGTTCGAGCCCCTGGGGGTGATGGCTTTGGGACGAGTTGTGTCTATATACCTTATAGAAGCCCTATATACCCGAAACTCCCCACCTGTAGCTTCCCTTAACTGCATTAGGTCGAGCCCTGGGGGTTGGAAGTTGTAGCCCTTATGGAACCCTTTAAAGGAACCCTTAGAGGAACTCTATTCTAATTATTTAAGGCCACTACACCCTAAACCCTTAGTGTAGCCCTTATGGAACCCTTTAAAGGAACCCTTAGAGGAACCCTATTCTAATTATCAAGGCCCCTTTTTCTTTGTTCGAGCCCTGGGGGTTTCATGGCTTTGGGACAAGTTGGGCACGAGGACACGCAGACGCCGATTATGGTTGCGGCAAAGTCGCACCAGGACCTCGGGGGAGAGGATCCCAAAATCGGCTTTAGGGGATTAGGGGTTTAGGGTTTAGGCGTTTAGGGGTTCAGGGTTTAGGGTTTAGGCGTTTAGGGGTTCAGGTTTTAGGGTTTAGGGGTCTACGATGTTGCATATAAAGCTTCCTTTGCATTCATGCTCGCTTCTAGGATGCTATCGTCAGGATGAATATCGTCAGCGCGGTTCCTAAGGGTCGATGCAAGACCTCTCTGATGTGCAAATACTCCTTTGCTGCGTTAGCTGGGGTATACCAGACATGCGGAATCCTTTAATCGTTCACTCTTCCTAGACACGTGGGAGTTTCACAGAACAGGGGACCCCAACATATGCCAGAAGTGGTAGGATCCTTGCGTGGTATAATAAGGAGCTTACCGAAAGGGCCCTTTTATGCTATCGATATTCGAGTACCGAAACTTTGCAAGTAGGCTATCTGTGTGGCTACGGCTAGGACGACTACAATGACTACGATCAGGGTACTCGTAGCCCCACTTCTGCCATTCTCACTACGTTACCTGATTCTCAAAGCGTGGTAATCTAGACATGTGTCGAGACTGCTCGCCTTGCCTTGTGCACTGCGGTGCGTCTTAAGCAATTCTATCTGGCTGCAGTGAACCCTAAACCCTAAACCCTAAACCCTAAACCCTAAACCCTAAACCCTGAACCCAAACCCTAACCCTGTAAAATCTACCATGCAACTCCTCACACCAAGCCCAAGGAAGCCTGGCAACCCTAAACCCTAAACC